GATCCAACTTCAACGATGTCATTAGATGTTTTCTAATCTATCTCCCCTTGGGGAAATTAAGGATCAAATTTAAAAAAAAAATTGACATTTCATCACGGAAGTGAAACCAAATTGACGACATCTTTAATATTAGTACGATTTTCATGAAATTCAGAATGTACGTAGATATCATTAGAAATGTCCTAACTTATCTCGCATTGAAGAAATTAGTGGACAAAGTTTTGAAAAATTCGAGAAAAAAAAGTAGGTCAGAATCCCCTGAGTTTTTTTTATCTGTAGTAGCTAAGAAATTACTGATTCGGACAGAAAATATGGAGTTTGTCGATCGAACCGGAAGTGCCACTATTTTGAAACGTGAAAAATCCTTAAGGCTTTTGCGATATTTTACCTACAGACATGGGAGTTACATTTTCTGAATCCTTAAGGAATGCCTAAAAATCTATCGGGGCAGGATTTTGATTTCTGTCGACTGATGGTCACCATTTTGACTTGAATATGAAAAAAAGTGAAAAATTGGATATGAAAAAGGTGAAAAATCCACGGTAACGAGAGTGAAAACAAACACAATACGCCGTACTTTGGAGAATTCGTCTCCTATTTCCGAAATGGATACATTTCTGGATAGCCGGGCTCAGGGTCGATTTTTTTGACCTAAATATTTGAATAGCTGAGGTCAATCTAAGTTCCATTCCAAATTTTCCCGCTATTTTCATTTCATTTTCTGATCCGTCTCAAACGGCTTGATCCATTAATTTTCTGAAATTTCTGAGATCCTTTGTATGATCCATGACATGTGACAGGAAGTGACCGTTAATATGTAAAGATGGGTTGCCAGGGAACGAAACATACGCCCACAGTAGCTAAATCGTTTGAGCGGTCGACAAGTGTTGTCGCGTACTTATTCTTTTGTAGGTAATTAAGGGGATATACAACACAGTTTCATACAGATCAGATTAAAATTTTTGTCGTTTGAGGGTTCCCAAGGTTCTACAAACTGAAACAAGGGCCTTAACTCTGGAAGTAATTTACAGAAAATTTTGAAATTTGACAGGCATTTTCGTATTACTAATTTAAATAATGCATATAAATTTCACACAGATCGGATGATAACTCTTGACGTAATAAACGGAAATTCAATAGGATACTTCTTTTTACTAATTTAAATGACGCATATAAATTTCATACAGATCGGCAATAAACGGATATTGATGAAATTCAATAGGATACTTCTTTTTACTAATTTAAATGACGCATATAAATTTCATACAGATCGGCAGATAACTTTTGATGTTAGAGCGTTTACAAGGCGCAACAAAGTGAAACAATGGCCATAAATCTAGAAGTAATTTACGGAAATGGCTGAAATTCAATAGGATTCTTCGTGGTTTCAATACGCCAAATGATGCATACACATTTCATACAGATCGGGTGATAACTCTTGGCTTTAGAGTGTTCACAAGGTACAACAAAGTTAGACATAATATTATAAACGGAAATTGCTGAAATTCAATAGGATACTTCTTTTCACTAATTTAAATAATACATATAAATTTCAGAAAGATCTGATGATAACTGTTGCCGTTAGAGCGTTCACAAGGTGCAATAAAGTGAAACAAGGGCCATAACTCTAGATGTAATTAACGGAAATTGCGGAAATTCAATAGGTTTCTTCTTTGTACAAATCTAAATGACACATATAAATTTGATACAGATCGGAAGATAATTTTTGATGTTAGAGCGTTCACAAGTTGCAATAAAGCAATAAAGTGAAACAGGGGCCATAACTCTAGAAGTAATTAACCGAAATTATTGTAATTAAATAGGATTCTTCATCTCACAAATGTAAACAACATATATCAATTTTAAAACAATCAGATGATAACTGTTGGCGTTAGAGTGTTCACAAGAAATTGTAGACGGACAGACGGACGGACAGGACGGGGTCGACGGCAATATACGTCCACATTTCCATGTGGGCGTATAAAAACGGGAAATTTTGCCCGTTTAAAATATTTAGTACCGTTATACTTTAGTTAATATTACTTTAATCTTTTTGACAAAGTTAATAACACCTGACTTGAGGTGATGCTCCATTGAAACATTTCCCGTTATTCAATTTCATTTTTTCAAAGACTGCTGAACTTTGAAATCATGTCAAATGTAGCACCATGGGCCTTTCTGTCTGACATGGAGAGCGGACAAGTACTATTACCGGTCGCCACATCCTACGTACGACCCATGCATCTTTTCTTACTACATATTTCTGTAGCCTTGTGATCGTCTAGAATTTGTCTCTAGCTGTCTTTACTTCTGCTTCACGTTGTGTATTTACTTCTTACTGTTTTCTTAAGACGTTTGTCTTACCAGGAATAACAATGCAACAATTCCCTTCTACATTTTATATATATATATAGCCGAATACATGTATACAAGCATAATATATAACAATACTAGCTAAAACCATTTCTCCACCCTAGCCAGCCTCGCGGCTGTCTAGGAACTCAGATGGAACCTCTCTGGAATCTAATGGAAGTCTACTTATATCACGTATATCACGCATTACAAAGCGTGTTCATGTCCCTGAACTTGTGTAATTTCTGATATTTGGCGGCATCGAGGTGACCGTTTCGTCGACAGAAACATTTGGGAAACGGATCCATGGGGAGGACATAGCGTCAAGATATGGATAGGGATTGGACTTAATGTGATACTTGGATCCATGTGCTTAGAGAATGTTGGTCAAAGTCGGTGACATCGACCAAGTGATACGACCTCACGTTGTTCCATTTTTTGCACAACATCAAAAACACATTTTCCAGCAGCACAACGCTGGCCAGCCCTCAGCCCTGATCTTTCCATCTATTACAATGTCTTGAGCCAATTTTTTGTCAACCTTACCCTATTGGTTATTCTTGTCTTTACTGTTGAAAATAAATAACATTTATACTTGATACTGGACTTGCTTTTCTTTTGCGTGTGGGTATATAACTCCAGTTATACCATCATTAAGTACAAGTTTATTAGCATCAACATATTTTTCAATTGCAACCTTAGGAACGACGGCATTCTTACATCAGCGTATAACATAAAATCCAAACCGTGACTAAGTATAATATCCTCCAAAGGTATACAGTAAAGTGTGAACAATACCGATCCTAAGACGCTACCCTGTGGCACACCGAATTCAAGTGAAGCGGATACTGATTTGTGCCCATTTACTACAACACTCCGAGTTCTATCATGCAAGTAAAATTCTTTCCAAAAAAATACAATAATCAATATAACTTCCGATATCATTATGATATCATTATGTACTTTGAGTAGAGCAGACTCGGTACTATGGTACTTTCTATAGGCGGATTGGAATTTTGAATAGAAAGAAAACTCACTGAGATGATTATCAAGATCACTAGCATGCACATTTTTAAATGAATTTGCCGCCAAAAATCTAGTTTGAAACTGAACGATAATTTTTCAATACATTAGAATTCAAACCAGGATTTTTCAATTATAGCCGAACAATGGCATGCTTAAATTCACAAGGAAACTGTCATTATCAAATAACGTGTTGATGACTTGTGGGAAATGGATCCAGTGAACAGAACCTACAGAGTTCATTGATGAGATGGGGGTCACGGTGGCTAAGTGGGTAAGACGCTGGCTCGCTAGCCTGAAGGTCGGGTGTTCGATCCCTGCGTTGGCCGAGGAAGTTCATCCAGATTTTCCGGCGTGGTCTTCTCCCCTTGTCGGTTATGCAGGACAGAGGGCCTGACATGGACAGCTGCCTAGTCGTTCGGATGGGACGAAAAACCGAGGTCCCGTGTACACATTGGCGTGCACGTAAAAGATCCCTTGACAGTTGGAATTCGAAAATAGGTGTAGGCTGCAGTGCCACTGTCCGGGCAATATTTCCCTCATAACACACAGCATGGCGTATGCCCGTTGTCATTAGCCCAGTTCGGAGCAGAACAGTAGGACGTTAAACCCCATATCATTTCATTGATGAGATAAGACGCAATAAAAAGGGTTCAGTTACAGGTGTAAAAGAATGACCAAGATCAAGATCATTGAAAACTTATTGACTAGATAGGGAGTCCGGTGAATTTCTTACCATTCAAACTTTTTATTTGAAGAAATCAGTGTACGATTGTGCTAGCGCCCGTGGATCTGTGTGGTCTGGTGAAGTAGCAGTACCGGTTGTATTACAACATAAACGTTCTTTAATAATATAGAAGTATGGTTATTTGGGGTGGGGGGGGGGCAGAAAGATGTGCCTCTATTTAAGGTTCGAAGGTTTTTGAGAACTTATACATGGATTACCGCCATGAAGTACCTTACCTTATGCATTGATCGGAAGCTTAATTATTTACCTTTCCAAAAGTGTGTCGCAGATCTTTCTATGTTCAAAGCCCCACGAACTCAGTTGGGACCCAAGGAATGAGCCCCCCCCCCCTTTACCTCAGTTAAGAATTTTATGTTTAATAATTTTAATAACTTCACTTAATTACGCAAGGTTGTTGAGTGGGGCCTGGCGTACGCCATTGTGTCCAAAGTAATACCACCTATAAATATCGCATATCAACAGAGCGGAGTGTGGATGTAGGGTTAACGTCCACTCAACACAAAATAGATGATACAATAGCGTGTGTTACATTTTTATTTGAATAATTCGCTCCCGTACAGGGGTGTTCATATAGAATTGAAGTGCGACAATCCATATAGAATTGAGACAACCCATGTGTTGAATCGAATCCATGACATGGTCACACACCCAGTCCTAGCTCTTTGTTACATGTCACTGCGACAGTGTTAAAGTTAATTTGAAGTGGTTTTACTCTGACCCATGATGACATGTTTTCATGGTACTTTAGTTTACCTTATGGAATCTGATACATAGGCTATATCGTAAATCTTACAAAATATTTATCCCAGTCTTGGATATTATAAAAACACATGACTATATTAATAACATTTATTATATAAACTAACAATATACTCACCGAAAAAAACCGTACACGATGCAAATATTATAATTTTCTTAAAATAATCTGTTCCTAAACAAACCATTCTTCATTCTAAAATAATAAATGAAACAGTTCACATTGTCTTGATACAAATAATTACCAATAACCCCCCCCCCCCCCCCAAAAAAAAGCAGTACCTCTAAAAGATATTTTAGAACATATAGTAAAACAAGTTCTACCAGAAATAATGACCAAAGGCTGGACTAATTTTAGTTACGTTCTGTACACCCAAGTCACTTGGATTCTAAATTCTGTTGGATCATTTGTTGCTTCTATAAATCACATTTTTCGGGCACATGAGTAAAAGGGAAAAAAGAAAATAACAGAAAAAATATTTTGCCTGCTAGTCGGCAAAATAAAGTGCTCGAAATCCGATGACATTTATGTGATAATAAACCAATAATTGTATTTTCTTTCAATCGATAATTATAATTGGTAATGAACTGACTATGGATTACAACATTTTGTATGGAGCCACTCTGCTTTGTGATATATTTTTCTGGCAGCGATCATTATTTGTTTCATCAATTTTTCGTCCATCTTATTTGATTAAATTGATTAATGGAATAATTTAAAGTTTAAAACATTTAAAATCAGTATAATAAAGTAGTCACTTTTATCTATGCGCGACTTTGTATCAGGTATCAGTTTTGTTTGTTTTGGGGCTCGTGGGCGACCGGCTTAACAGGCCGCGGTTCCATAGAATCCAAATGATAATCTTTTCGGGCATCATCATTGTTGTCCGGTGAATGCAATTGCAACAGTTTGACTATTTCGTTGTCTCGAATTCAGGTCAACAAAGGGTGGGATTTCGGTTGCAAAAAACACATAAATACAGCTTTTTTTGCACAACTTTCATGTTGCTGTGCGCACGGCCTGGAAAAGCAACAGAACGCGTTTGCAGCAGTCTAATTTACAAAATTTACTGGGGGGGGGGGGGGCGATACCACCAAAAGGTGATCTTCGCGCCTTTGGCACTCGCTATCGACCTGAACTGCCGCCTCTAAGCGGAAATTTTGTTTCGTTTTATTTTTCATTTGTTTAGTCCGCTCCGGCTTGACACTACTTTGAAAGAGGCGTTCAGCAATGCGCAGGTTGTGCTGTTTGACTACAGGTAAATAAACTGAACGACATTATCATATAGTTTTAACCAGATTGAATTTATCCGTGATGAAATGAATATAATCAATTTGAATAATAGATTTTTCGAAATATCCTTAGATTAACTAAGATATGAGATATGTACTACTCCTAATTGAACGTTTGGGCGTTTAAATCTCAGAAATGAAATGAGGTTTAACGTCCTACTGTTCTACTCCTAACCTGGGTTAATGAAGACGGGCATACGCCATACAGTGTGCTATGAGGGAAGTTTTGCCCGGGCAGCGGCACTATCGCCTACTCTTATATCGAATTCCAACTGCTAGGGGATCTTTTACGTGCACACCAATGTGTACACGGTTTTTCGTCCCATCCAAACGAATAGACAGCTGTCCTTGTCAGGCCCTGTTTACATCTCAGCGGTGGTTTATCAGGTTTGTCCCAAATTGTGCTTATAATCTAATATGAACATATTCGAATTGGATTTTCTTTATTAATTTACGAAGACCTCTAAAGCGCTAACATCCCTCCCTCTAAATTACACTATAATTTATGAAATTTTTTAAAAGCTTGCGAAATTGTTGGGTTATTGTCCGCTTATGTATTCAATTTAATCCAAACATTCACTAGATCAAAGATCACCTGGTTGATATCTGATGCTTCAATTCGTTCCACCTGTGACATACCGGTAAATAGCAAAAATATAGGTCAACTTATGTGATCTTGAAAAAGATAAGGTCAGCAGTATAGGTCAGTACATGAAAGTTTAACCGGGTTAATCTCAAAGTTGTGCTTGTCTAAAGCAGTCCTAATGGATTTAACAGTTGCCCAATTTTAATCATGTTCGTTGGCGTAAACAATCAAAACACGCGTCATTTACCGAAATCCAATGCCAAATTCTTGATTGTGATAAACAAAAGGTTCTTTGGATCAAATAAACGTGCTCAAATGATACAGTATTCATCTCACTAGCAATTTGTTCATTTTTTTTACTTGCCAGTTTACATGTATTGATCAATAATGATTGTTTGAAAATTTCGGTATTTATTTATTTTTTTTTTTTAAATACAAATTCTATGCATTAACCTGTATAAACTGGTTGAGTGTAAAAAAAAAATACAAAGACCAACGCCCTCGACAATTAGATTGCGAATTCAAGGTCAATCCATCTCTGCTAGTCGAAGTAAATACATTTACTTTTACGTTAGATGGTTCTTCCTGCATTTTCATAAGATAGGTATATAAAACGAATTACCATTTCCTCTAAAATTTTAGAAATTACTTTAAAATTTGACACCCTCTTCAAATTACTGTTAATTTCACAGCATTTATGATCAGACCCTTCTTCGTGTAACATTTGGCCTCTATAAAATATGTAGATAAGGAAGTTTTGGTTTAAGGCACCTGTGTGCATCATATATCAATAATGCTGAAAAATGACGGTTGTAATATCACCAAGAGAAATGAATGCATAACGACATTAACAAAGATCTTTGTTCAGACAGCAACCAACTAAAACTGTGAAGTATATGAAGGTTGTGTCAATATGCTAGTAACGGCTGTATCGACCGTTCTTAATAATTATAAAACCTTATAGTTATGTAACTGAAAAGGGCGTTTGAAAGAATCTATACCAAATAAGTACATTTCGATACTTTGAAGAAGATAAATACTAATACATGACATATTATTAAAATTCACAATTTTGTTTAACAATTTCATTTAAAGTTAATTAAATTATCTACATGTATTACAATTTCTCTTTTTTTAAAAAACAAACACACAATTCAGAGCTGATATAATTTTACATATCATTTCATAGAAAAAGTAATGGAGAAAGCTCAATTAATTTAAATTAACGAAAAATCCTTACCGTTATAGAATCCAAGAATATTCTAAAAAAGGGACAAGTTGTGTGAGTGTAATAGTAGAACAGCCAGTGCCAGAGCTTGAAAGAAAATGGAATAAATTGCGACTATGGTCACATTATATACCGGTAGATTAAATGATAGGGAGCGCTAGAGTTTCAGAAGCTGTATCCAATTAAAAAGCTTGAAAGTGATGTTTATTGAAATAACAGATTTAAGAATATAAACTACATTTTATACACATGTGGACTTTGGAACACACACACCCATATACAGATATATATATATATATATATACACACACACACACACAAGTGAAGCGAAGACCATCAATTTTATAAAAAGACCCCAAAATATATTCTAACGGCTAGCGTTTTCTGTTCGTACTGAACTTCTTCAGGCCATTTTTATATATGAAAGATTACGTAGAACAATAGACGCAACGTCATGGCGTTACTATAAATATATCAACTACAACATAATAATAATTACATATTTACACATTTAGTAAATAATAAATAAAAAGAGAATTATTTCATCTGTTAGTATTATATCCGTTATTTAATTCTGGTTTGTACTTTTTGATGAAATAATTTTCTTAACATTCAAGTAAATCATTAGTTAAAAAATTCAATTTGTACAAGTGAAATACGTTTAATTTTCCACCTCCACATGTTTCCATATGTGGACTTAAAGGCATTACTCGATTAATTGGAATCTTAATTTGTGTAACGCTATCTTAGTGATAACAGAGACCAGTTTCGTAAATATATGGTTTATTTACATTGGAACATAATATGACACATCTACATAATTACAACAGCAATACAGGTACTTAAACTATATACAGGTACTAGACTCGTACACTCGTCCAAGCCAGTGCCGGATTAAGGCTCTGCTGGCCCTAAGGCACATTTTGATAGGTGGCCTGAAAATACAGATATGTTGGGCTCATTGACAAAAGGAATTAAGTTAAATTTAGCAACAGAAAATTTATTACAAACAAATTCAGAACATTGACAGTACTGTATTTACGATAAGTAGCCTACATATTCCCATTCACTGCCTAGCTACTTACGAGATTCTTTCCCACAACAAATGTAAACAAATCTCACGTGTGTAAAGGGACGAAACATCATGTCAACCCCTTGCCAGAGTATGGAAAGCTTTTAAGGACAAACGCGTAGATGAAGAAGGATACAATTTATTTTCATAAAAATAAAGGCAAGCATTTTTGTCACCACCTGATAATTATCAAAAAAGTTTTACTTTATCATTTTGTGGCCTGGATTTTTGGCTGGCCCTAAGGCACGTGCCTTATTTCCCTTATGGTTAATCCAGCACTGGTCCAAGCCTCACTTCTCCTCCTCGCTCTTCTCTAGTCATCTCTCTAGTCGTCTTCAGTTATATACCTTCTGATCATTGATAAGCTCATGGTCATACATGCATTTGTCTCTTTTATCTCGTCATGGTATGCTTACTGACCAGTGCATAATCCTTTGAAGTCCTGCCGAGTGTTGCACACAGATCATGTGCAACGCAAAAATGACATATTGAATTAATAACATGTTTAACTACAACACAGACAATCGTGACTTAACAGTGCATACAGAGTTGAAACGTCAATATCATATATACTCTTCAAAAAATGTATGGGAAATTCAGAAACAATACAAAATTGCGGAAATGCACTGCTGTTTTTAATTAGAGATAACCAGTGTATGTTAATAACAGGCCAATTGCCTGCATAAACGGTTCATATGGGCGGCTTATCTGAAGGCCCCATTTCACTCGCAAAGAGATACACCGACAAAAGTGAAAATGGACGTTTTTGATTTTTGTCTTAATACTGAGTAATTGCTCCACCAATCCTCAGACATTCAGCAATTCGTCGTGGCATTCTTCTAATCAACCGTCCAATTACGATTTGGGACAATCTGACCCACTCCTCTTGCAGTGCCACGGCCAATTCTTGCAGTGTTGTCGGTTGACGTTGACGTCGACGAACACGTCTCCCGATCAAATTAAACGTAAGACTATAAACACAACAGTTCTATGGATAACAATTACTATATTTCTATAAATAAGCTACGTTTCAACAATGATTCTCTTGTCGTTATCAAGCACAATATAAAGGACTTTGCAATGGTTGAATTGCTGTCAAAACATGATGTTTCACTACGCTGTAATGTAGTCAGGTTCAGTAAAAGTGAAATCTATAGCAAAAAATAGATGTAAGAAAGGATTGAGTGATAAATAAAATCCCTACTCGTCTTTTTTTTTATTTCAAAAAAGACTCGCAAGGAGATTCTTGAGAAGGATTATGTGTTGTAACTGAAGTCAAAATTCCATCTTGTTTACCTAAAACTTTAGGTTTCCTTAAATCTTCCTGATCTATTTTTAAGGCTTGTTTTATACCATTTTCTATTAAACCACTAGGATAGTTTTGATTTCGAAGGAATTGATTCAATTCTTGTAATCTTATTGGTTTTTTTTTATCACATGGTACGATTGTACAAATTCTCCTTGCAAGATTAAACGGGGTGTTTCTTTTTGTATGAGATGGGTGACATGAATAGAAATTTAAATACTGGTAGTTTTATAATATAGATCCGTTGTAATGTCACCATTTTCAGATAATGTTATTGTTACATCTAAAAAGTTAATTGATTTAAAGTTTTTTACTATTATAAAATTTAAACTTCCCTTTAAGTGAGTTTAGCATGAGATATAACTCATTAGTAAAACATTATCCTTAACAAATATGATAAAACAATCATCTAAGAAACGTATACACAACGACATAATTTCTGACGAGCTTCCAAGATGAGAGAAAAAACAATTTAAAATGTTATTAAACCAGTGTTTGAAACCAGCGTTTACCGCATAACAAAGTAGTGCAGCTCTACGGTTGTGCTAATATTTTTGGATATAAATTTACTGTTCACAAAAATGCCGTATTATGTAAGATTAGGACCAACAAACCCAATTATAACCATGTAGTTATTCTACTTCAGTCTGCAAACATTACCAGGACAGCTGGAGATCATCATCAGTAATAAGTATAATTTAACACTGATTTAATAACATTTTAAAGTACTTTTTTCGTTTATCTGGGGAGCTCGTAATAATGTCATTGTACAGAGATGGACAAAATACAACAATTTATATATATTTATATGGCAACACTGGTTTGAATTGTCTATAGTTACAGCGGATACATACACGTTACTATATTGTATATGGGTACAATTTAACAACAAAAAACGGAAACAAATTTCGGGATCGATTAATATAATTAACCGAAGATTATTTCCTATTGACAGTATTTTTTTTATAAAGTGGTTTCCCATTATTTTTCTTTTTGTTCTGTTGTAACAGTAAGTCTTCGATGATAACTAAAGACTGGAACTATCCTTGAGACTATCTATTACCGGAAAGCATTTAACATCATATACGGAGAACAGCACGTCCGATAAGCAGAGTAACTGTCTTGGAAACAGGATGAAACCTAGTATGCTTTGTCAATGTACAAATCGGTATTTATAATGAAATGATATCTTAGGAATTAACAATATACACCAAGGTTACTAATAACAATTAAAGAGGAAAGATTAAAATATAAAAGACATTACTGTAAAATAAAACAATAAGATAATAATTAAACTCGTTAATGTGTCAACTGTCAACAGTCTGTCATTAGATAAGAAGCTTAATGTCTAATTAATAACGAAGGATTAATAGAAACATAAGAATAATAGAAATGTTTAAATAAATGAATGAATAATGAACGAATGAAATATTGAAAGAATGAAATACAAACAATTCACAATTTTATCACCATTATACTGTCATCGATTTTCAGTTTATAGAACAAACAATATTTGAAATTTTATTTGTAGGTGTCTATGTGTCTATTTACGAATAAGGGCCCAATTCCAATGTTACAATCTCGACGATGGTTGCGTACTCTATCCCTTAGATATGTGTCCATTTCTCCGATGCAATAATGTTGACGGTCACTACAAGTCCAGAGTTTTTTGTGTCATAAATCACATTGTCGTTTTTTGAAATTCTCGCTTGATTTATATGTGTATAATATACGCATTTGTGGGAAGGTCATTCTAATAGTACTTGTAGGAAGTTGATAATATTTCGTCTATATTGTATTGGAAATATGGTTTTGTTCAAGATGTTACGTCAAGAATGAAATCTGAACAGGAACTTGTAGGCACTTTAGTAACCTTCATATCTGCCTTGTTTATCTTCCCGCTATATAAAATGTAACCTATATATAACATCTGCCTTTAATATTTATAAATGCCTGGATTTATCAAAATCTGCTATATAGCATCTGTCTATACTATAGAAAAACTGTCTGGGTTTCTCTTCTAAATTACTACGTTATTAGCATCTTCCTACTATAGCCAAAACTGCCTGGTTTCTCAAAAACAGCTATATGGCATTTGTGTACTATATTCATAACTGCTTGCATTTTTCAGTAACTGCTTTGAAGCCTCTGATTACTTTATATCTGACTTCACAGATTTCTCAATAACGGCTTTATAGCAATGAGAGGGAGGTGGAAATTGGAAGTGTGGCTGCGAGTGATGAAACGTGTGTGGTTTGTTTTTTAGTCAAATAGCTAGGTTTCGATCACACGCTTTACCATGACAAGAAGAAAGGTCGCCTTCTCTGGTTTCCTCTCCCTTTATACCATCAGCCCACTATGTGCATAAATGCCTGGATTTCTCAACAACCGTTTCATAGCATATGCCTACTATATTTAACAATGCTTGGATTTATCAACTGCGATGACAATACGATCTATCAGCTATCTCAAATACACACTACATTTCCATTTCACAACTTATCTACATCATCAACCCAAGCCTTTTCTGTGCCGTACCCAGTATGTATATAATATACTATTTAGTTATTCTCCATTGACCACGAAATGACTTTAAAGTTATTTTGAGACACTGGATGTGGGCAGATGGTCATGAAAAGGAACGTTCAGGGGCGTAAATGTGTGTGTCTGTGTGTGTCCCCCAGGACAAAAAATAGTCGGTCGCAAAATCAGTGCAGTCGGTCGAAAAATAAGAGCAGTCGGTATCAAAATAAGTGCTCACTGCACACGTCAC